CCATTTGCTGAACGTACAGTCTAAATCTAACGCTGAAGTCTCTGCCAGGTTGTTCCATCAGTGTCCCCCTCCCCCCTCACTGCTTTGTTTCAGAGTTTTATATTCTATATATAAAATGTGGGTATACTTTAAAAAACCATTTCCTTTAAAATATTTCTGGGTTAGAGTAGTCTGTCTTGATGAAGCCTGTACATGAATCAACCTCTTTGTAACCTATGTTACAGTAAGAATTTTAGGAATTTCCTTTATTAGGACCCGTTAGTATACTGCAGCCACTGAGTGAGCTGCATTGATTTCTAGGTAAAACAGCTTGAAATTGCCTGAAATTTATGGCATATGCCAACCTCCTGTACACTGCTCCTTTTCAGTACGCAAAACTTAAATATCCTGAAGTCGGTCTCTTACTGGCGAATGTTACCCTACATTTAATACTTAAAATATTCTTTGTGGAGAAACAGCAATTTGACTCTGAAACTGTTTTTCAGGTTAGGTGACTGCCGCTAATGGCATGGTGAGATGTGTTGAAGAGCAGCTGCGAGGGTGTCCGACAGCAAGGGGACTGCTCTAGAAGCTGGGCTTGCAACATCATGGGCCAGTGTGTCACCAAGTGCAAGAATCCTTCTTCTACCCTCGGCAGCAAAAATGGGGAAAGGGATTCCAGCAGCAAGTCACATAGTAAGAGAAGTGCAGTCCACAAAGATGACCATGGTTCAGCCTCTGGGAAGTCTTCAGGAGATATACTTGTGAATGGGACAAAAAAAACGGACGCTGCTGTAGAGCCTAGTCAGCCTCCAACATTTTCTGGAGATACAAAGAAAGACTCTGTTTCCAGCGCAGAAGAATCTTCCCTCCAAAGGATCGGGGAGTTATTTAGGAGGTATAAGGATGAACGGGAAGATGCCATACTGGAAGAAGGAATGGAACGATTTTGCAATGACCTCTGTGTTGATCCCACTGAATTTAAAGTGCTAGTTTTGGCTTGGAAATTCCAGGCTGCTACCATGTGCAAATTTACAAGGTTAGTTCTTGTAGAACTTGTAATTATTTTCATATGTTAACATATATCCTGTCATCTGTATGTTGGAGAGACAGCCTCATTAGCTTCACGTACTTATTTCTTCTAACACTTGCATTTTGGTCAAATTAATACCTACCACTACAGAAGGTAAGCTTTATATTGTCCTCTTTTCCCCTTCCCCTCACAGTGGGTTTCAGAACCAAAAATGTGTTTCTGGACATTAAGCTGCCAATGATGAACAGTGTAGTGAGATTCTGTAGACGTTAATTTATTCGTTATTTTTTTACTGTAACCAGCATTATCTTGATGATGAGACTGGACACTGAAATTACTTTTTGCTTTAAAGTAATGTGAGATTCCTTAGTAATTGCTACCAACTCTGTTGTCATTCTGTGGAAGAATGGCAGACTGCTTCCTAAGAATCGTTCCTGCTCAACCAGTGTTACGCTTCGTGTTGTTTTCCAGGAGTAGTCCTGCAAAGCATAGAGAGGGAAGGAAACACAAAGTTTTTGGCAATGGTAGATGTTTCATACTGGCTGGCAAGTGATTGGTATTTAAAGTGCTCCTGTCCTGGACAAGGGGGTCAGTCATCAGGCTTAGAGCATGTGTGATGCTGCAGGAAATGACAGAACGGCTGAAACTTACCGGGGGCGGGGGACAACGACGACACACGGGACACGACAACAAACAAACCCAAAACGACAACAGCTCTGTCTGTCCCCGGTGTCGTGTCCCCCCACCCGAAACTTGATTATCAATGTTCAAGTAAGAGCAAGTAAAGGCTTCCTAGAGGGACTTGCTGAGAGGGAATGAATTTATTTTTTGGTCTATCTAGATTGGTTTGACTAATGCTACCTATTTTTACTCAGCTTATAACTTTCAAAATTACTTTGGTGTTCTGAGCCTTGAACCAAGGCTCTGCTATGCACGGAACACAGATAGCTTTTCCAGCATCTTCGGAGTCTTTGGGGATGTGGGTGTGTGTCAAATGGATGAGTTACTCTGGAATGCAAATGTGGATTCGCTGGAGGCTGATGGTGCAGGCATTCTCTAACATGGTAAAGGAACTGCAAGAATTGTCTGTGATTCTGCACAACCATCATGAGTTTTATTAATGTCATTTTAATTTTCTTGGAGAGGGCGAATCTGGTGGTGAGAGGTTACCTTTGTTTAAGGGCACGCTCCATGATCAGGGTGCTGATCAGCTTCTTCCATCAAGGGACGCAGCGCGGTCTTCTGTTCTCCTGAGCGCTGCCCCATCTGCTTCCTTCCCTCCAGCCCGTCCTGCGTCAGAGTCTTCTGGCTTTGGCTCGTACAGGCTGGTTATAATGCTTCAGAGACATCGGAGCTAACCATCTACCCACTGGGCCAGCTAATCAGGGGGCTAATTAGTATAGGATGGGTGCTTCGAGCAGAGTTTACACGTTGCGTTGTAGCCTGCGTTGTGTGATGCCGTGCTCTCCCGCTCTCTCGCAGGTGCCTTGCTGACTGTCACCGTGGGCACCCTTTTTATTTTGCAGGCTGGAAGAGCAACCAAAAACCACAGGAAAGCCACCAGTGAACTGCTCTGTCCCTTGAGAACAGCTGCCCAGAGCATGGGTGTTTAGGCATGGGCAATACTGAATCAAGCTGGTTTATATATGGCGCTTCAGCGTGTAAAGGTGGCGTTTGCAAACATTTGGCATTTCTTCTGTGGTAAATTTTATTCACTTTTGAATGTGAAAAGCACTGGATGTGGTAGTATTGAGTGGTCAGGAAGTCAGACAGCAAAATCTTTCAAATGCTAACAGTGTCCTAGCAGATCTAAGGGGGGTTGTGATTCCCCAGGCCATGGGGAACTTCTTAGAAACATTTCTCTTTCCAGTAGCTCCTGTTGCCAAAATCTGTGTGCCACCTGGGCTGAGAATACACCTTGTCTTGTCCAGATAACCCTCCTCTGGTTTGATGTAGCTGAAGGGCGATGGGAAGCGTTCAGCGCGTGAGGTTGGTGGGAAGCACTCACGCAACTTTCTCTTCTCTTGCTTAATAGGAAGGAGTTTTTTGAAGGCTGCAAAGCAATAAACGCAGACAGCATCGACGGCATTTGTGCGAGGTTCCCCAGCCTCTTAAATGAAGCCAAGCAGGAAGATAAATTCAAGGATCTCTATCGTTTCACCTTCCAGTTCGGCCTGGACTCTGAAGAAGGACAGAGGTCGCTACATCGGGAAATAGCCATTGCCCTTTGGAAACTAGTCTTCACCCAAAACAAGCCCCCCATTTTGGACCAGTGGTTACACTTCCTAATCAAGAACCCCTCAGGAATCAAGGGAATCTCCCGGGACACGTGGAACATGTTTCTAAATTTTACTCAGGTGATTGGACCGGACCTTAGCAACTACAGCGAGGACGAGGCCTGGCCGAGTCTCTTCGATACCTTTGTGGAGTGGGAAATGGAGCGAAGGAAAAAGGAAGAGGAAACCAAATGTATTACGTCTTCGGACACAGAGGGCCTGTGTGTGGAGGAACAGACTTAGCGGCGTTGAAGCAGCAGTGACAAAAGCAACCTGTTGCCCTTCATTAAATATGAACTCTGGATGTTTCTGGAAATTACCAAGGCTCCAGATTTTTCTACTTTACACCTTTTTCTGCCTTGTCTTTGAAAGGGCTCTAAAATGCTGTATCATGTTTTAGGCACTTTCTTAATTTTGGTTATTCCTTTTACTCTTGCCCTGAAATATTTGACCCTGGCTACAAGTTAAGCGTTTTGGGTTGGTTTTTTTTAAGACTTCAGATTAGTATAAGTAAGTCTGATATTTCTTGCACAACATAGATCTTTTTAGTTAGGTTAAATTAACATTGCTAAATTATACAGTGCCAGATTAAATTTTTTCATACTACATCTGTCAGGGCAGGTCTGTACTGTGTGTAGTGCTGTTTACATTGTTGAAATTTTAGGCTGTAATAATTTTAAGGTTTTATACCAAGATGAACAGCAGTGTTAACTGTTAACTATAAATGCATTAATCCCCGGGTAATAAGGCTCTACAAAACAACATAAGCAACAGCTTTTTGTAATATGGCTAATTCCCATTTTAAGCTAACTCTTGGTGAACGAGTCCAGACCATTCCTTTTTTGGAGTTTCAAACTAAATGTTGGGATTGTTTTATAAAATTACTGTACCTGTCAGTCAACTGAGTGGTAGATGATGATTTGTATCCAAATCTCTTACACATCATGTAATAAAAGAGCAGTACTACCTCAGTTTTATTGAAAGTGGACTTCTTGATGGACTTCCATTTTCTCTGGAAGTTGTATTTTTGTGGTTAAATGAGATTATTTTTACTTGACTAAGAGAACCAAAGGTTCTGCTTCTTAAGTTTGTTAAACATTGACAGAAGCAACACACAAACCCTAAGTCTTCAAGGAAAACTGTGGTATAATTCTGCTTTAATTTGTTTGATTTATACCTAAAGTATTATCTTACTTGTCTGGCAAGCACAGTACTTCTATGTAAGAAACTATCTTTTGCATTAATATTGACGAACCAGTTTTTTAAAACCTTTGTTTAATTTCTAAATCACAGTTAATACTCCACACTTGCTGGAGCAACAATATCGGCATCTGATGACAAAGTGAATTCTTAATGTGTTCTTAATGACAACAGTGTAGATGAGTCATTTTTAGACTGATTTGATAATATTTGGATAGGAGTCAATTTATTATTTTACAATGCCTGTATTGGGACTATTTGCCTGTTGAAACTGTTGTGACTTAAAGGGAGTTTTATTAACACTGGTTGAAACTTTTTTGGTTATTGATGCTACCTTTTTTAATTTTAGTATGTGAACTTTTTTACACCTTTTGCTAAAAGGGATGATTGCCAAGGCTTCCTATAGAGCTAAGTACTGGCTTATCGAATTTGATACACTTCCATTACACACCTTTTATTTTCAGAGCTGCATTTCAGGAGCATAAGACCGCTTCAATTAAAGAACCAAAACAAAACAACCCCTGGACAGTTGTCCATAGCATCTAATGACTTTGGTGATATAAGGGTTTTAAAGCTAAAGGGAAACAGATTTTAAGTGGTGAGCCTGTCGCTGGATCCAGGGTGGCATGCTTTGCACATCTGCTGTGCCCCAGCGGGGTTAGCAGAGAGAGGAGGAGGATCTGCCTGAACTCTGTCGTTGGCTTTGCTGGCACGCAGCCTATGCAGTAGCTTGGCTCTGAGACCATAAATCACTAACAAAATGTGGGTATTGAAAAGTGTTTAACAACAAACCCACAAGCCACAGGTAGCATCTCTTTCATCTAATAAAAGGAGAGTTTCATCCGTGCTGCTTCTGTGAGCTCTTGCTGGGAGATGCGTTAAGCTGTGGAAAACAAATGTAGTTGTTCTAGATGCAGCTGAGTCTGTCCCTTTGCAGGAGGAGAGCCCTGAACTTGCTCCATGATAGGTAGATATACCCAAAGCTTTGTCCTTCCTCCTATAACCTACAAGCTACCATGGTGCAAGCACTGTTTGGCAGTAAAACCTTATTCCGATGTGGTGAGCAAAGCAGGCCAAAGCACTTGTACCGGTATCATTGAGTTTATGGTGAGGCTGCTGCTGGAGCTGTTATTTTTAAAAAAGAAAAAAATCCCCAACAGAGGCTGCTTTGTTAGCAAAAGTTCCAATTGGAGACTGATTTGATAGTAAATGAAGACTGTATTTACAAGTTTGAGACTACTCTTTCATTCAGCTGTTAAATGCTTTGTTCGTAGGTTCATTTTTTTTCCTAAAGGGAATTTAAAATGTCCAGAGTGTGAAAACTTTTCAAATGGATATCCGTGCATGCACGTGCACACAAAATCCTGACAGTGGCTGCTGCTGATCTGTGTGCTAAACTGCGGCAGCTCCAAAGGAGGAGGGATGGAGCTCTTTAAGGAAGGCGTTTATCTTGTGGGCTGAATGTGGGTACCAGTAAGGAAATCAATCTGTAGCACATCAAGGCTTAGCTATTTTAGTGTATCAAACGTGATACAGCTTTTTAAAGGTGGTGGTGGTGAATATACAGGAAGGGAAAATCTTTTTTTTCCTGTAGGGGAAAGGACATACAATTCTCAATGGCTAAGGCCCATGCCTTCAGTATGAGTGGACAGCCTTGCTCTTGTTCTGCTGTACTCAGCCTAGCAGGAGCAACTTCAGCCGTTGGGTAGAATACTTGCAAAAACAGACAAATGATCTATCTAGCAAAGTACCATTTATTTGTAGCCTAACTTCAGGTTTTTAATTACCATTTACAGAATGCAAACCAGACCTGTATCAGTTTCAAACTCCTGAACCAGGAGCTGAATGTGCAACTCTGGCAGTGCTGAAAGGGAGAGAGGGCATCAGACCTTCCCTTGGATTGCCTGGTGATTTTATGATCTTAAATGAGAATAGACCATACTCTGTAGTGCTGGTGCACCTCTGTGGCGTTGAGGGTTTGTACGTGTTTCTGAGAAGTCTTTAACAATATTGGAGCTTCTGAGAATGCGCTTAATGGTTAAACTGTGAATATTTGTGGAACAGGCCAAATACATTCACTCTTCATTTCGTATAATTTACATCTTTATTGTGTAGAGCACGGGACTGCAGTGAGCAGTGATGCTGATGAAATCCTTGAAACCATTGCAACTATTTAATTTTTTTTTATTAGAATATGCATTAGAAAACTCTATGCATGTAGTGAATCTGCTGCAACTTGGGATAAATAACTATAGATAACTATGTAGATAGTTATAGTAATGTACTGGAAAACTGGTCTAATATCCACACTCTGTGGCATTTTATTGCCTTCCCTTATACACTAAGAAATACAACTCCTATAAGCTTCCGTCCCTAGTAAGGAAGCCCTGACCACCTGCACCATGTTATAGTTTGCAACACCTTTAAAGTTTGGCTCCCAGATCAACTGGAGGCTCAGTTGTGCTAATTTTTACTTATGTGGGTGCATTTCTGAGGTCAAAGACTATTTATTGATTCAAGCAGGAATTTGAAAGATTCTGCCCATAGCTGGCTATAAACATGACCAAGGAAATTAATTGCAATTAAATGCTGAATTGTGAGTTTTCTTGCTGCTGGTGCTATTCTATATGGAGAATTATAGCTTTTTAATACTGTGCAATTGTAATGAAAGAACCACAGGAAAAAAATGAAGATGTGGCAAGTGGCATAGGATCGGTCAGCTGAAGCCTGTGGCAGTTGGTTTTGCCAAGCGCTGGCAGCCCCAGGCTGGCGCGGCAGATCTGCCTGTGGATCAGCCGCTGGACCTCTACAGCTTTTCAGCCGAGCACATTTAAGAGCATGATGTGAGTTCTCCCCGCTCTGCGGGTGAGGGAGTGACTCAGGGCTGGCTGCAAATAGATGCAGCCCCTCTTCCTGAGGGCAGGGTGGCCGTCAGGTGGGGGCAGAGTGCTGGGGGCAGCAGCCGCTTTGCCTGTGTGACCTTTGCCTGTCCATGAGAGCCTGACGAGCCCGTGGATCCCAGACTAGCCTGTCACCCGGGGTCCCCAGCCATGGCTATGCAGTGGCTAGTGACCTTAGGATTTTCATGACACTGTCAATATAAGTATCTTCCTTACAGTTCTAAGTCTTGTTTCCAAAATAACCCCAGCAAAGTTAAAGAAACACCACGTAGTTAATAGCCACCTCAGTCGTGATGTAATTTGTGGCTGAGGTTACATTATTCCCATTCATTGGAAAATAATAGTCACTGTGAGTTTCCAGGTCTTGCAGCCTTGTGTTCTGCAGTGTGATCCTTTTTTAGAAGATCCTCAGTAAACTGGGCACCCAGTTCTTCCCTTGAGCTTACTCTGCTCAAAAGGTGTGCATGTGAGTTTAGCCTTTCATGTAAAAAAGGAAGATGCTTAACCTGAACCTCAAAATTCTTCAGGGTAGTGTTTCAATATACAGCAAAACATAAATATTTTTTGAAATAAGTATTGAAAGCTAAGTGCTTAAATTTTGTTGTGTGCAAACAAAACCACCAGTGTTAAAATTTTCTCTCTGGACTATTGAAGGTTGAATCTTTGGGTTTGTATTGTCATCTGAAGTGAAATACATGAGATTATATGACAGAAGGCTGTAATTCCTTCACCATGAAGTACATAGGTATCTCTACCTCTTGTTCTTAGACTTGAGTACTTTAAGATTACCATCCTTTTCTCCCAGGATTTTATGCCTGGATGAGTAATATCTATCTTTTTTTTTTTTTTTTTTTTTTTTTCCCCAATTGACCCAAATTAAGTATTACCGATTTGCCGTACTTTTTGGTTTACTGTTTTTAATCTGCATGCAGTCAACCCTTTGAAAGGGAGCCAAGTCAAGCTGCAAACAAAAGTTGGTTCTCCCAGGTGCTAGTTTTGGAGTGCAATAGAGTGACCAACTGGAGCTACATTGCATGTGGCTCAGGGGCTTTTATCATCACACGTCCCCTGCCCTGGTCAGCTGGCTCCCTGTACTGACAATACATTGAAGATGGAGCAGCTGCTCCGCAAGAGGGACCTGTCAGCCTTTTAATTTGCCCTTGAGAAACTTTAGGAACCCACCTGATGCAGTGTCATGAGTGCATTTTTCTTTTGATTAAAAATAGTGTTTTGTTCCCTGTTGGACTGGACCTGTAACGCCCAGCAAAGATGGGAGCTGCAAAAATGGAAAGGCTACCTGTGTCCTTTTCCTCCCTGAGGTCAGAATCTTGCTCAGGATAAAACCCTTACGCTTGGGCAAAGCTGGTGTGTTCTCAAGTGTATTGGAGATGCCAGAGTGGCGTTGGTGCTCGGTTGTGTTTGTTAGTGCATTTAGGTGGTGTCTCTCTTTTCATGCAACACGTCTGGGTCCCTCGCTTTCCTCCCCCAGAGAGAACTATGTCACCGTTACTGTCATGGCAGAGCCCAAACAGATGCTATGCCGTAGCAACTGCTGCTACAAGATTCTTCTTCCAGTTTCAGAGCTGCTTTTGGGGTGTGACCTCTTGCACTATCTGTACAGGCACATCTTTCAGGAGAAGGGGGGGACAGGTGAGACGATAGGTAAAAGAAGCATGAAAGCGCTAGTCCTGCTAACAGCTTGCCTTAAATCACTGATGTTTCAGCAGTTCCTCGCTACTGTTGCAATCCTCAGTCTTTCTGTAGTTAGGTTTTAAAATCCAACAGGTTCTGAAGGTTATACAATTTATTTTTTTTTATTTTAAAAAAGCTTCTATCTTTGCATAATTGCACTCTTCAGGTAAGCCCTGTCTGGATAACGTCATTTCACACACAGACAGAAACAAACATCCATCTCCAGTGTTCTTGCTGTAAAGTGGATTTTTTTCCCCACCTGTAAATTACATTTGGACTAAAGGTTGCCTACTGTTGAACCAGCGTGTTT